CTCGCAGTCAGCCAACAATTCTGGCACACAATTTGGTGAATTTTTGCAATGTTTTCATCAGTTCTGCTTATTACTGGGAGTCCTGGTCTCTCTTCACCAGTGACAGTTTCTCTTCCCTCAGAAAAATGTTTAATCCATTTGTACCCTGCCATTTTCTTTAAGGCATTATCCCCATAAACTTGGACTAGCATGTTCCTGATTTCACTTCCACTCTTGCCAAGTTTAAGAAGAAATTTAATGTTTGTTTATTGCTCTAATTCAAGCTCTGACATTCTTGTGATGGCTCACAAAAATATAGAATAATGAACGCCACTCAGCAAGATACCTCCACATGTAGACATGAACACAGCTGTGAAACACTGATATACCAAGCCTATGAAACCTTACAGAGTTGTTTGCACAGCACTGCCAACATAAGCACTCAGTGGCAAGTTCACGATCTTAATTGTCAGACTGTGTATACACTGTTACTTTTTTGATTTTAGAGTCTTCTGATATTTTTTCTGTAAGAGCACTTACCTATGAGATGGCAGGTGGAAGCTACCGCCCATACTCCTAAACAAGAAATGTCCCTTCAAAAGTAACCATTTAGGAGAAGAAGTCTCCATGATCCACACAATTGCCCTATTTCTGCACTTCCTTGGCAGATCTAATGACGTGGGCTCATCTAACAGACACATGTGACTCAGTTCTCTGCCCATTTCCACCTACTTGGAGTGCCCATTCATCTGGGATCCTGAACCTATGCCCAACTCAGAGGCAAACCTGATTTTTGTAACACTTTTTTAATAAGCCCATTCTCCTTGTGAGGGAGTGGTTTAGAGGTGGCCAGGAAGACTTCAGGAAAAGGCTATGGTGGCTTCAAGATCAAATTCCTTGCTCCTAAGAGAGACACACAGGAAAAGATTGTCTTTTCTTAACCAGGATATTGTCTGGTGTGGGTTGGTGCCTGGAAATGCGAAGCCATTTTGGGAGCCTGAAATGAGATTGTTGGACAAATAAGCCTGACAGATCTAAATGTAAAATCTATTTAGGTGACCTCTAGAAAGACACTCACTGCAAGCCACTGGCTACAAAACAGACTGTCACAAGAAAAGAGCAGTTTGCAGAAAAATATATGTAGTATGATCCCATTTATGTGACCAAATAAATAGATATGAATACTCAGAGAACATCAGAGGCTCTGGGGGAATACTGGCATTCCCTTGGAGCCATACAATTCAGGGCTTTAGTTTTTTTTTTTTAAGTCATGGTTTCGTTTTGTGCCCAGGCTGGAGTGCAGCGGCACATTCACAGTTCACTGTAGCTTCGACCTCCTGGGCTCAGGTGATTCTTCCATCTCAGTCTCCCAGGTAGCTAGGGCTACAGGCACATGCCACCACACTCAGCTATTTTATTTTTTATTTTTTATTTTGTAGAGATGAGGTCTCGTTATATTGCCCAGGCTGGTCTCCAACTCCTAGATTCAAACAATCCTCCCACCTCAGCCTCCCGAAATGCTGGGATTACAGGTGTGAGCCACCATGCTTGGCCTCTGACTTTGTATTCTATGTGTATTTGTATTGTGTGAAGTTTTGACGATAGCATGCATGCACATATTGCTTGCGTAACCTTCTAAACATTTTTAAAAGTACACATAACTTCTTTATCTAAAATGTGTACTAGAAACTCAGAGTATTCTTCTAGAAAAAAAGGGTTTTGTGGTCCCAAAATTCTTCAAGTTATTTTCGTTTCTAGGGGGATTCCCTCCATCCCATGACCTCATCCGTCATGTCAACCTGCCAGCTCAGCACACCCGCTGCCTGTCAGCCGACCTTCCTCTTCCAGAGGGTAAGCCATGGGTACTGGTTCTGTGCACCCGGGGTCAGGGTCTGGGCTGTGAAGTGGGAGAAGTTGATAGACCTCTTCTGGAAAATCGAGTCCACGGGCATGTGGCTGACAGGACCAGAGTTGGCTGACCTCAGGGGCACTGGAGAACAGTGAGGCAAGGCTGGATCCACAGGCAGTGGGGCACAGGCGAACTGCCTCTCTCAAAGCGTGGGTCACAGTCCTGTCGAGCCTCCATTGTGAAAATGTAGGTTCCCAAGCCCCACCCCAGATTCACTGAGGCACAATCTTTGAGTGTGGGACCTGAGCCCCTAGATGCTTTTGTTACAGGTAGATAAAGTATGAGTACTGTTTCCACCACAGGGGAAGTGGACACATCAAAATAGTCAGTACCATGAGGCAGAGACGGGGCAGGTGTGAGTTCTTCCTTGTCTCGGTTACCTGGATGCTCAGAGCCATGTGGTTTCCCTGCGTGAGGACTACTCGAAGCCCTATTCTTGGCTCCTTTCACGCATTCTGTCGTCTTCCACTCCTCCTTGTCATCTCTAGTGCCCTCCTGTGAACTACCCAGTCTTTCTGGGACACGGCAGGATAAAAAGATAACTATTAAACAGTCATTCAGTAAGCACTTAGGATGCTGTGCTAAGTACATCCCATCATATCTTATTTAACCTTCCCGACAAACCTAAAATGAGGTACTATTATTAACTTCATTTTAGAGGTATAGGTAACTCGGGTTTGCAGAAGTCAAGCGATCTGCAGAGGGGGTTCTGGAATACAGTTCTCTGTGACTCCAGGGTACAATGCTCTTAAACACCTAGTGCTTGTCCCTGGAATCAGTGAACAGTGGGGGCTCCACATTTTTTATATAGGGCTGGCCCTGGAGTTGCAACCTGTGTGGAAAAGAGGCTTGGGGTTTATTGTATAGCTTCTTTTGCATAACTAGCACACTAATTTTTTATCGAGATTTTAGGTTGCAAATCATTTTTTTTTCATTTTGAAGATGCTTTTATGCACACATGAATAAAATACCTGTGTATCTTTGGGGCCTGACTTGTCTTATTTTATTTATGTGTTTATTTATGGGGGGAGCACAAGGACAAACTGTAGCGGTGCAGCCACTGTAAATAAATTACAGAAACTGGTCATTGCTGTGGCTCATGCCTGAAAACCCCGCACTTTGGGAGGCTGAGGTGGGAGGATTGTTTGAGCCCAGGAGTTTGAGACCAGCCTAGGCAACATAGCGAGATCTTGTCTCTACAAAAACCAAAAACATTAGCCGGGCATGGTGTCAGCACCTATAGTCCCAACTACTCGGGAGGCTGAAGCAGAAGGATAGCCTAGGCCTCAGAGGTGGAGGATGCAGTGAGCCGTGACTGTGCCACTGCACTCCAGCCTGGGTGACAGAACGAAACCCCGACTCAAAAAAAACCCCCAAATAAACAATTAGTCAAACTATTTTATGTCAATTTCATATTAAGTTTTCTGTTCAATACTCAGGTGACTGGTTGGGAGAAATGAATATAGTTTTACAGAAGAACCCCTCCCCCATTGTTACATATTCCCCAGCGATACCAATTGTGAAAAGGGCAGGTGCACACACACACACACACACACACACACAAATAGTATCACACAACCAACATACTCGTTCCACTTAAAGCCTAAGAGGCAACGTTCCGGAAGGCCTAGGACACAGGAGATGGGAGGAGGCGCTCTAAGCTGGAGGTTACGTCTCCGCCCCTAGTCAGACCACAAGGTCGGATAACCAGTGGGACTGCCAGCGTAGCGGCCGGCGCCCTCCCAGGCCCAGACACACAGCGGGAGGGAGGAAGTGTGCGGCTGGGAAGCTCCGTCGCTCTCGCCCGGGTTTCCCGTTGTCCCCTCCCCGCTGCGACTGCGAGGAAAGTTAGCCCGGAAATCTGAGCCCGCCTGAAACTCGGCCCGGCCCCCACCCCCGCCCCGGGAACTTCCCCCGGCGCGGGGGCCGGGCCGGGATGGAGAAGTCGGCGGGGGGGTGTGGGCTCCCGGCCGCGGGGACCGCCTGGCAGCAGCGCCCTCTGTCGGCGGCTCTGGGGACGGCCTGCATCTGTCCGCGTGTGCTTGGTGTGCGTGTACCTACGGGTTCCTGTTCGTGTTCCAGATGGGGGCGGGGGGTCTAGCACAAGTGTACCCCTTTGCACACTTATTAGCTGCTGTAAACGCCACTAGGGGCTATGTGTTTATTCCGCGGATCGTGTGCATCTGGGTAGCTGTGTGCAAAAGAAAGGAGGGTATAGTCTGGGCGTCCAAGGGGGTGTGCCTTGAGTGTGGCGGTCTGTGGATATGTCACTTTCTGCTCCCATCTGTCTCGATGAGAGAGTGCCTGTGAGCACAGGGTGTGTCTCTGCACATATGGGAGTCTTATTAGCGATACACACTTTTTTTTTTTAAGAGATGGGCGACTCGCCATGTTGCCCAGGCTGGTCTTGATCTCCTGGCCTCAAGTGATCCTCTAATCTTGGACTCTCAAGATACAGGTGTGAGCCACTGTGCCTGGCCAGTGCACACATTTTTATTTGTGTGTCTGTATGAATGTGCATAGGTCTGTGTGTCTGTGTTCGTGTGTGTGCGGTGCCTGGAGCCACAAAGGGTGGTGATAGTGTTTCCAGAATCCAGATGTCAAAGGAATAAAGCAGGGGAAGGTGCCCCGGATATGCCAAACCCTCTGACTTCGAAAGAACCATGGATTTTGCTTCCAGGCCTTCTAGCATCCAGTTGCCCCATCCTGGCATGAGCTCAGCCTCCCGCCTGACCTCCCCTTGGCCTTCCTTCTTCCCCTGGTCTGCAAAACCAGGGAGGCTGCCTAGCGCTTTCTCTACGCACCTTGGCCATGATGTAAACCCGAAGAAATCAGCATCCCCATCTCCTTCCTTTTTCCCCACCCCAAAGTCATTTCCTCTTAGTTCATTACCTGGGATTTTGATGTCTAAGTTCCCTCCGTGTTATTGATACACAGAGAGAGAGGAAAAAAAGGAACTTCTTGAAATTCCCCCAGAAGGTTTTGAGAGTTGTTTTCAATGTTGCAACTTGGAACAAGTCAGTTTCTAGTTTGAGTTTCCATCAGAAAGCCTGGTAGGAGTAGAGTATATAAGCTCCAGTAGCAGTCACAGCCCCAGAAGACACAACTGTTTCAGGCCCCTCAGACCCTGCAGCCAGCCCAGAGTAAGGTAAGGTCCTCCCTAGCTCCTGCCTCCCCCTCCTGTGTGCCTGCACCTGTCTGGGTGTAGACACCAATAATGTTAGTGTGCTACCCTTACACCAGGCAGAGTGGAGTTTGTGGATCCTGGGAGCACCCCTGGTGATTCACCTGCAGGGACACTGGTGAAAATGCTGTACTTTGAGGACTGATATATAATGTGTCCATCTTCAAATTCAGCTAATAATAATTATATACCAAAGTCTGTGAACAAATGCATATTTTATAGAAAGGTGTGTTTTATCTTATTTTGAAGTAGTGTGTTCTTAAATATGAATGCCTATCAGTTAAAGGATCGTTAAACTCAGGGATGCTTGCCTTAGTATTGAAACCTTTTAAAAAGACTTTCATGCATTTCTTAAAATAACTGAATTTGTAATTGTAGCTCATAGCTGAATGTTACGATCAGACTTGCTCCCATGTTTGTGATGGGTTTGGTAGCCAGTCGTGACCTCAGCCAAATGGAAAGCCGGAGTTCCCAGTTCTTTTAGATTAACTAACTTTGGCCACACTTAAGAAATTAAGAGCAACTGTAATGTTCAAAACTACTTTCTGATGAATCTTTCAATTTATGAGGGGGGGGAAAGATTATCTTTACTGTACTGGTATCTGATATATGCCCAGGTAAAATGGTATGCAACAGTGTGATCAGATTAAAATATCATTTTAACAAAGAAATTATGAAACCATCTGATGGCCTGCTCTTCTCCAAAAAGGAATTTCAAGGTATTGACAGAATTTGGATTAAACTGTTAGAGGATATTTTATTGGGAGCTATAGTTTTATGATTTCTGTACATTCATTCATTCTACTAATGATTCATGGAGTCCCTCTGGGCTGGACTCTGGAACAAAGTATGAATCAAGACAGGCATGAACCCTGCCACGGGAGAGCTCAGTGTGGCAGGGAAGACAAACAGTAAAGAAGTAACTGTGGACCAGGCATGGTGGCGCACACTTGGAATTCCAGCATCTTGGGAGTCTGAGGCAGGAGGATCGCTTGAGCCCAGGGGTTCGAGACCAGCCTGGGAAACATAACAAGACTTCGTATCTACCAAAAAATTTAAAAATTAGCCAGGTGTGGTGGCGTGTGCCTGCAGTCCTAGCCACTCAGGAAGCTGAGGCAAAAGGATCCCCTGAACCCAGAAAGTCGAGGCTATATGTGGTGAGCAGTGATGCCACTGCACTCCAGCCTGGGTGATAAAGTGAGACCCCTACACAAAAAAAAAGAAAAGAAAAAGGAAAGCAATAACTGCAATATTGCCAACATAGTAAGTTCTGTGGAAGAAGAGCACATACTCGGGTCCTGACTCTATCCGGGCACCATGCTGGAAACTGTACGTGAATTATTTCATTACCTCCTCACCACCATAGGATACCCATTTTCAGATGAAGAGCATGAGCCTTTAAAAGGTTCAGTGACTCACCCAAGATCACACAGCTAATAAGTGGCAGAGCTTATTAATAAGTGGGTGCCCATTCTAGATGTCTGCCTGGCTCTCAAACTTGGGACTTTGCATGTGTCACCTATGCCATTTGTGCCTGTACATTTTATTTTTAAATAATAATTATCTTTTCAAGTTAAAAAGTAACAAACAAAATAGAATTTGAAGAGAGATGCCATCCCAAATGTCACCGGCATGCCCATATTGGCACTGGTAGTAGAGAGCCCTTAGCGTATCCCTGGAAGTAGGAATGCCTAACTTGGGGTCCCTTCCTCCCTCACGCAAGGGTTTCAATAACTTAGGAAACCTATGAAATTGCATGAAAATTTTTAAATTTTAATCCTCAAGACTTTCAGACTTACTGTGTCAAGGAAGTGAGGGCTGAGGGATACAGTTAGCCAGGATGAGCTGACCAGCCAGAGAGCCAAAGGATGGTCATATATTGTTCCCTTTTTTTATTTATCCAGATTTTATTAAAAGTGTATCCCTCCAGCCTGGACAACATAGCAAGACCCTGTCACTACAAAAAAATTAAAAATCAGCCAGGCGTGGTAGGGTGTGCTTATAGTCCTAGCTACTTGTGAAATTGAAGTGGAAGCATCGCCTGAGCCCAGAGGGTGAAGGCTGCGGGAAGCTGTGATCCATGCCACCCTGCATTCCAGCCTGGGTGACAGAGTGAAACCTCAACCTTCTGTCCCCCCAAAAGAGGGTGACCCACCCCCGTCTCCACCCCTTGCCAGTGTTCCGTGGTTTAAAATATAGGCGATACTATAACAGGAGCAGTTTCTTAGAACTCTAGCCAGGGCTCCCTTACCTTGATGTGCCATTCACCTGAAATTCTCACATGCACCGGAGGCCCAGAGAAGAGTGCTGGGCACATGGCCAAAGGGAAACCCCAGAGTCAAGAGAATATCAAGGAACTACCAGGAGGTGCCAGGAATCCTCCCATTTCCGTTCCCAGAGTGCCGACATCTGGGTTTTACAGGCCCTTGTCACTGCAGTATCTTGAAGGGCATTTCCCTGAAACCTGGCATGGCTTTTTTGGTTATCCATTGTATACAAAACAGAAATAGCAAGTCATTCTCTTATCTCTGAATCTAGGTATAAGCGAATGTGTGATACATTGCCTTCTGTAATACGTCATCTCCTTGCGTTTTCCGACAACCCTTTGAGTTGAGTGTTAAGTTCATTTTATAGATGAGAAGACTGAGGCTCAGGGTATCTTGGCCAACATCACACAGCGAGTGAGTGGCGGGACCAGAATTTAAGCCCAAGTCTGCTTGACACCAAGCCTGTGAATGTATTAGCCGATGCTCTGTGCCACTAGTACTCTGCTACAGTCAAAACCTGAACTGAATTGATAACCACGTCCCCAAAACGTCACGCTGTGGTGACAGAGTACTGCAGAGCACACAAGAAGGCTCGACTTCTAGCCCTGTCTCTGCCACTCACGAGCTTTACAATACAAGGCATGAAGTATGTAGGAAGTCCCCTAGGGTTAGCAGCAGCCCTGACAAAGTCACGATGTGTCAGTACCCAGTCAGCCCAACCAAGGAATGTCCATTTGTAAGGTATTTGGCTGAGAACTTGAAGAGGGATGCCAACCCAAATGTCACTGACATGCCCATATTGGCACTGGTGTTAGGGAGCCCTTAGCGTATCCCTGGAAATAGGAATGCCTAACTTGGGGTCCCTTCCCCCTCATGCAAGGATTTCAATAACTTAGGAAACCTATGAAATAGGTTTGTTCTTCCTATAATTTAGACCAGTGGTGTCTGAAACCATGTTCCTGCAGTCCAGTGGTGTCCTGCAAGGCGGGTAGAGACATTTCAGAATGCAATTAAACAATAGTCACCTGTATGTAGTTCATAACTGGGGTGTAATTTTTGCAATCTGAAGATTTTCATAAATCCTGGACACTAATCTAGACTGGGTTTCAATATAAGACAGTAGCTGGACCAGGTGTGGTGGGTGGGTGGCTCACGCCTGTTATCCCAGCACTTTGGGAGGCTGAGGTAGGAAGATTGCTTGAGTTCAGGAGTTCGAGACCAGCCTGGTCAACATGGTGAGACCTTGTCTCTACCAAAAATAAAAATTAAAAAATTAGCTGGCATGGTGGTATGCAGGATCGCCTGAGTCCAGAAAGTCAAGACTGGTAAGCCATGATCGTACCACTGTACTCCACCAGCCTGGGCAACAGAGTGAGACCCCCAACTCAAAAAAAAAAAAGCCAATAGCTGGTTTAGCACAAAAGTATGCATGTCATTATTTCATGATGGATATATCAGTATTTGATTTTATTTTCCCAGGCAACAACTTGATTTTCAGGGGTTCTGGACTTTTAACATGGGTTAAACCAGTAGTTCTCAAAGTGTGGTCCCAGGACCAGCAGTGTCAGCTTCATCCAGAAACTTTGGAGAAATGCAGATTCTCAGGCCTCACCCCCAGGCAGCTGAGTCAGACACTCTGGGGTGGGACTCAGCAGTTTGTTATAGCAATGCTTCCAGGTTATTCTGCCATATGCTCATGTTTGAGAACCACTAGGTCACATGTGGTGGTGGGAGGGAGTCATCTTGGAACTGGGAACAATTGCCATCTAGACAAGAAAAGCCAAGCCTCTACAACAAGGGCTTGTGACCCACCTGTTGCCAGAACTTGAAAGTTTGCTTCTATGTTTATCTTTCAAGTCTTCAACCCAAGTCCGTTCACCCTGACTAGCCCAGCACACACTGCCTTGAGCTGCAGGGATATAGGTGTGTGTTTAACTTTTCTCCACAGGTGGAGGGGAGACATTTAACACACTGACTTAAGACATATTTGTTGAGTGAAATTATTTGCTTCCAGAAAGCAGGATCCAAGTAAAACCTTTTTTTCCCTCTATCTCCCAACTGCTCCTAGCTCAGTTCTCTTTACATAGTAAGCATTGAATAAATAATTGCCAGAAGCTGATCCAGACAAGTCATGTTCCTTCTTTAAGCTTTAGATTTTTCACCTTAAAAATAAGAGGATTAGGCCAGGTATGGTGACACACACCTGTAGTCCTAGCTACTGGGGAAGCTGATGCAGGATGATTACTTGAGCCCAGAGTTGGAGGCTGTGATGAGCCACAGTTGTGCCACTGCACTCCAGCCTGGGCAACAAAGTGAAACCCTGACTCAAAAAATAAAAGAGGATTGTATCAGACGGCTGGTTTCTTTAGACTCTAGATAGCCTATGACTCCCTCTTTGGAGATGTTCTTACCCAGAAGCTGCCAGGGGGCTCCTGTAAGTCATTTAGTATTTGCCTGACAGTATGGAGAAAAAGGAGAAAAATCAAGATTTTTAAAAAGGTAGCTGGAATGTGTATATTGCTCCCAAAAGTAACAATAATTATTGATTAATAATTCTCTTCTCTCTTCTCTCTTCCCTTCCTCTTCCTTTTCTTTCTCTCCTTCTCTGCTTCCTGTTTCCCTCCTAATAGATGTGTCATCGGCAGTTGGTCATCTCCTGGTTTTCCCTGATTTTGCTGGCATCTCCCCTCGTCGCCATATGGGAACTGGAGAAAGATGGTAACCCACCTCTCCTCTTTCTTGTTAGAGGCCCCGGATTCTAAGCCAGGACTCTTGGGCAGCCACTGGTGGTAGATCAAACTGAAATAGGCAGCCATGCACCGGGTTCTCCTTGCAAGATCCCTCACTCTGGGGAAATGCAAGACCATGGTTCTTTCTTTTACCATGGTGGTATCTGCATTGTTTTGTTTTCACGTTGGATACCAGGAAAGGAACTTTTTATAAACTGGGACAGGAAAAGAGATTTGGTCTTTGCCAGTATTACTAAAACCATCTGTTCCATACAATTAAAATTCCCAAGTGGAGGATTTGAATAGTATAAGGACCAGCCAGGTACAGCGGCTCACACCTGTAATCCCAACACTTTGGAAGCCAAGGTAGGAGAATTGCTTGAGGCCAGGAGTTTGAGACCAGCGTGGGCAACATAGCAAGACCCCATCGCCACAAAAATAAAGAATAAGAAACATATCCCGTCATTTTCCATTCTACCACAGGATATAGCCCTCTCTGTAGGCATTGTGATGACTTACCTCTGTCCAAGCACTTTGGAGACAGCATAGGAAGTAGGCTCACATCGAGTTATGTTCAAGTCCTAGTTCTGCCACTTACTAGTTATGTGCTTTTGAGCTCGATCACCTCTCAGCCTGAATTTCCTCAACTGTCAACTGGGTATTACAAAGTGACACCTACCACTTGGCTCATTTAACAAGTTAATGAAGACAGAAGACAGATGGTGAAGTGAAAGTTTTTTTCTTTTGAGTCGGAGTCTCACTGTCCCCTAGGTTGGAGTGCAGTGGCACACTCACAGCAACCGCAGCCTTGACCTGCGGGGCTCAGGCAGTCCTTCCACCTCAGCCTTCCAAATAGCTGGAACCACAGGTGTGCACCACCATACCCAGCTAATTTTTTGATTTATTGTAGAGACGAGGTTTTCCTAAGTTACCCAGGTTGTTCTCAAACCCCTGGGCTCAGGCATTCCTCGTGCTTTTGCTTCTCAAAGTGCTAGGATTACAGACGTGAGCCACTGTGCCTGGGTGAAAGTAAATGTAAATAATATTTATTATTATGGCTGTTTAAAATGTCTCTGATGATTGAAGATACCTTTTTATTATCCCAATGATCAACAAAAATTACTAGTAGACTAATAGAATAGGTATTGGTATAATAAGGCATTCCTTCTATTCTTCTGATATCTCACTCTGTAAATGCACATTAACTGATTGCTAACTGTACCTAAAAGACCTTCAGATATTTCTTACTGAAGTCAACATAATAATGCATTGCCTTTAATTATATAATAATATAATATATAATAATAATCGTCAATATTACTTGAACACAGTTTCTCATTTAATTCTCTCAACAACCATATGAAGTAGGGACTATCCCTACACCATTTTACAGATGTTGAAAACTGAGGCAAAAAGCTTGAGTAACTTGCTCAATGTCACATACCCGGTAAGGGTGGAACAGGGACTTGATCCCAATTGTCTTACTTAAAGATTTTCAAGGACATGTAGCAAATATTTCCTGTGTTCTTGGAGAGTTGCATAACTTAAAGATGAAAAATAGGCATAACTTAAAGATGAAAGGATTTCAGCTGATGATCAGAAATAATCTTTTGATAGTCAGGAGAGTACAGCACTGAAATGGGTGCCTGAAAGAGATCTGGGGTCATTCTACCATTCTGCCATTCTTTTTTTTTTTTTTTGAGTCAGAGTCTCACTCTGTTGTCCAGGCTGGAGTGCAGTAGCATGCTTACGGCCACCCCAGTGTCGACCTGCTGGGCTCAGGTGATCCTGCCATCTTAGCCTTCCAAGTAGCCAGAACCACAGGTGTGTGCTACCATGCCTGGCTACTTTTTTGATATATTGTAGAGATGAGGTTGTCCAGTCAAGTTGCCCAGGCTGGTCTCAAAGCCCTGGGCTCAGGTAATCCTCTCACCTCGGCCTCCCAAAGTGGTGGGTGCTATTCTTAAGAATATCAGAAAGACAGCCATCCAGCCACCCGCCACCCCCCTCCCCCATGAGGGTCTGAGAGCTTTAGACCCTCCCCTAAGTAACAGCAAAGGCCAGAGCCAGGGGATCATGCCAGATGCCTTCAGGGATTTTTAGTGAGCTGGGGAAACTTGGCCTTGCATATTTAACCCCTTAGTGACTTCTAATTTGGCAAACCACAGAAATTCCAGAAAGTCAATGTGAGAAGCACTCAAAGGGCTTGTACCTTGGGAGGCCAGATGATGAAGCAGAGCCAAGCACTAAGTTCTAGAAGCTACTCCTCAACTTTCCTCTGGCCATTGTGTTTCTGTCTTCTGGGGCTTCTGAGTCTTGGTTGTGACAGGAAAGTAACCATGCTGACAAACTAGAAAAAGCCAAAGTTGCCACGTGGTTTTTGTTAGCCTGGCTAACCATTTCCCCAGAGTTGGGCCTCAAGTGCTTTGACTTCTTTTCTTTGTTACCCATTGGTCCTTACAAGTCCCCTGGATGTAAAGGGAGGATCTTATATTCCACAGTGCTTTACACTGGGAGGCCAAGAGCAAGAACCACCATTTTAAAGTTATGTAAGACCAGCATGATGGTTCATGTCTGTAACCCCAGCACTTTGGAAGGCCATGGGGGGAGGATGGCTTGAGCCCAGGAATTCGAGACCAGCCTGGGCAACATAGTGAGACTTCATCTCTACAAAAAAAAAAAGTAGACAGGCATGGCGGTAAGTGCCTGTAGTCCCAGCTACTCAGGAAGCTGAGGAGGGTGAGTGAGCCGCAGTCGTGCCACTGTACTCCGGTCTTGGTGAGAGTGAGACCCTGATTCAACTAATAATAATAATTAAGGACATTTAAGGACACTGTGTTAGACTCCTACATGAATTAGCTTGTATAGCTCACAGGTCAACCTTTTAAAGCAAGTACTAATATTTTTCTCCATTTAAAGATTATAGCACTGAAGCTTAGAGTAGTTGAATATCTTTCTCAGGGCTACAAGGCTGGTGTAAGGGCTAGAGCTGATTCTAAATCCAGACCTATGCCACTCCAAAATCCAGACTCTCATCCGTTGTGGCTTGCAGACTCGAGCAGGCATCAGAATCATCTGGAGAGCTTAAAAAGCAGATCACTAAACCCATCCCAAAGTTTCTGATTCAGCAACTGAGAATTTGCATTTCTAACATATTCCCAGGTGATACTACTGATCAATGATCATGCTTTGAGAATCACTGCATTAATCTAGTCTCTTCAATTAATAATTGATGCATGAATATACAAATGAGTGAAGCTTTGCTGTGACACTCTCTGAAATATTATCCTAAGCTGCTCCTCAAGGGTCACTTTAAACGCTGGCATTAGAGATCCCTTGCAAAGCCCAAAAGGCAGAGGTTCTGAAGCTGTGGCTCTTGTACTTGAACTTGATGTGACCCCTGCCCTCAGTATTCTCCTTTATAAAATAAGAAGACTAAGATCTACTGGACTGCTTCACAAGGGTATAAAATAGCTTTAAGAAAAATACACAGAGAGAATGAATATCTCCATTGGTGAGTTTCATGCCGAAGGAACTAAATCTTTAAATCTCCGTGGAAAATTGTTTAGAGAGTTTCTCAGTGCAGTTTGCTGACTCTTTGATCTGTGAATAATAACAACGGACACAGAATTTACCATGTGGCAGATGCTGTGCTAAGTACTTTACACGCTTTTTTGCATTTAATCCTCAGCCAAACCTACACCGTAGATGCTATTATCACTTTACAGACGAGGAAACTAAGGCTCATGGTGTTTAAGTATCTGGCTCCAGATCCTCCAGCTGGTTAGTTGAGACAGGATTTCAGTCCTGGTCATTCTTTCTTGACACTCTGAGGGTTTTTTATTGCTGTTGTTGTTGTTTTTGAATTGGAGTCTCACTGGTTACCAAAGCTGGAGTGCAGTGGCACACACATGGCCACCCCAGTGTCGACCTGCTGGGCTCCGGCGATCCTTCTGCCTCAGCCTTCCAAGTAGCTGGAACTAAAGGCACGTGCTGCCATGCCCAGCTAATTTTTTCATTTTATGTTGCCCGGGCTGGTCTCAAACCCCCAGACTCAGGCAATCCTCTCGTCTTGGCCTCCCAAAGGGCTGAGATTACAGGCTGAATCACCACGCCCGGCCAACACACTGAGTTTTAACCACTATTTTATTCCGCTAAATACTGTACCCTGTTTTATTCCCCATGAAACCAAAATTGTGTTGGAAATTTATCTCCACCAGACCTTTGGCAAAGAGTCTTGCGGTGTTTGCTTTTTTTTTTCTTTTCTTTCTTTCTTTTTTTTTTGGTGTATTAAAGTCTTTCCCATCTGCTACCTAATCAAAGTCTAATATTAAAGGCAATCTGAGGTTGGGCAGGTGGCTCGTGCCTATAATCCCAACATTTATGGGAGGCCAAGGTGAGAGAGAATTGCTTGGGCCCAGGAGTTTGAGAGCAGCCTGGGCAACACAGTGAGACTTCATCTCTACAAAAAATAAAAAAAAAAAAATTAGTTGGGCTTGCTGATGCACACTTGTAATCCCAGCTACTAGGGAGGCTGAGGCAGGAAGATCACCTGAGCCCAGGAGGTTGAGGTTGCAGTGTGTCATAATTGTACCACTGCATTCCAGCCTGGGTGACCAAGTAAGACCCTAACTCAAAAAATAATAATGATGAAAGCAGCCTGTCAGTTAATGAGTCATTGATAGCTATAAAGTTCTTTGTCTCTCTGTTCCACGACCTTGAGCCCAAGCAGGGCCCATTACCCTGAGATCATCTCAACAAGCATTTGCCAAATTTTGGAGCCATGAGCAAGGTTGTGTTTAGGCTGTGGAGATGCCCAATTGCACACTCTCAGAGTTCATGGAGCTTACAGTCTGCTTATCTTTCTCCAGTTTATGTAGTAGAGTTGGATTGGTACCCTGGTGCCCCTGGAGAAACGGTGGTCCTCACCTGTGACACCCCTGAAGAAGACGGCATCACCTGGACCTCAGACAAAAGCAGTGAGGTCTTGGGCTCCAGCAAAACCCTGACCATCCAGGTCAAAGAATTTGAGGATGCCGGCCGGTACACCTGTCATAAAGGAGACGAGCTTCTGAGCCATTCGCTCCTGCTGCTTCACAAAAGGGAAGATGGAATTTGGTCCACTGATATTTTAAAGAACCAGAAAGGTAATTCCATTCCCTTGGATAGTGTCAGTTTTCTCTTTTGCACATAAGAGATTAAAAAATAAGTAGATTGAAAAGGCAAGACGTGATTAGTGTAGTTAGTGAATTAACATCAGGTCTCTTACTGAAAGCACTCAGAACGTCTGTTTTCCTGGATCTTGGGGTTATCAACCATCAAAATATCCTATTAAGAGAATATCATGGTCAAGGTGAATGCTTATCCTGAGTTTTTCCCTTCCTTCTTTCCTTCCTTCCTTCCATTCTTTCATTCTCTCTCTCTTTCTCTTTCTTTCTGTCTCTTTTTCTTTCTTTCTGTCTCTCTTTCTTTGTTTCTCTCTCTCTCTCTCTTTCTTTCTTTCTTTCAGTTGGAGTCTCACTCTGTTGCCCAGACTGAAGGTCATGATCGTGGCTCACCATAGCCTCGACTTCTGGGCTCAGGCAATCCTTCTGCCTCAGCCTCCCAAGTAGCCAGGACTACAGGAGTGCGCCATCACACCTGACCAATTTTTAAATTTTTTGGTAGAGATGAGGTCTCACTATGTTGTCCAGTCTAGTCTTGAACTCCTGGGCCCAAATAATCTTCTCACCTGGCCTCCCAAAGTGTTGGGATTATAGCTATGAGCCACCACACCTGGCCAGGTTTTCTTTTAATAACAGTGATTCTACTGGATGGTTAATGGAAATTTACCAAGGTGTACAGTACATAACTCAGCACTGGGGTGATGACCTTGACAAAAATGAACACCTGTGGCAGATGTGTTAGGTTTACAGTGTACCCTGCAGAGGCAGCATCATCATGGGACACTCCCAGCCCTCAATGAACTACCAGCTGGGATGGGATGGGGGGGGCGCACTGCATTTTCCAAGGAAGTAGATGGAAGAACTTCACCCTTGGGTGAAGTTGCCCTTGGGTGGCCAGGGATTCATCATGATCAAACTCTTTCTGAAAGAAAACCCTTAAACAATATTGCATGTTTGTTCTTTTCCAACCCAGAACCCAAAAATAAGACCTTTCTAAAATGCGAGGCCAAGAATTATTCGGGACACTTCACCTGCTGGTGGCTGACAACGGTCAGCACCAATTTGAACTTCTCTGTCAAGAGTAGCAGAGGGTAAGTAAAGCCCCCTGGCTTATCAACATTTCATTAATAAGGGGAAACCTCTTGGTGCCCTACCAGATAATAAGGGGAGAATCAAGGTCAAACCCCTATTTATTTTTCAACCCTCTCTTTTGCCTAAGCTGGGGAAAGAAGATGGAGATTGAAGCCAATTACCTGAGTGTGTTAGCTGTACATGCTAGGACAGGATATCCTTGGGCTGGAGGATAGTCTTTGCTGTTTTAACACACACATCCCTCCGGCCTGGTCATGCCTCCCAAAGGCTCACAGCACCAGGGAAAGGGATGGAAGTTCCGAATGACTTGCCAAAACTGCACCTCAAATCAAAAACAAAAACAAGAGCTCTAAGGAATAGATCTTGGAAGCCTGGAAACACACTACAAAACTCTGTGAGATTACCCCCAAAATGTCCTCAGGGTCACCTCAACTCCTTTTACTTCTGCTGACACCACCCATCTGAAGTTCACCATTGGACTGTCCCTAAAAAAACATGGATAATTTCCATGGATTCAGGACCCATGTGTTAGCCCCTTATGTGACTCACCCTAATCATTATTCAAGTCACCAGCGATGTGGGATCATGGAGCAAACACTAGGTGATCATCCTGGCTTCGTGGCTCTTTAACTGAGTAAATTGCACATTATGGGTCCAGGCATTGTGGCTCAGGCCTGTAATCCCAGCACTTTGGGAGGCTGAGGCAGGAAGATTGCTTGAGCTTAGGAGTCCTAGGCCACCCGGGGAGCACAGTGAGACCTTGTCTGCACACACACACACAAAAATTAGCCAAGCACATTGGGCCTCACTCCTCCCCACCCTTTTTTTTTTTTGAGACAGGGTCTTGCTCTGTCACCCAGGCTGGAGTGCAGTGACATGTTCACAGCTCACTGCAGCCTCGAACTCCTTAGCTCAGGTGATCCTTCCATCTCAGCCCTCCAAGCAGCTGAGACTACAGGTGCATGCCACCATGCCTGGCTAATTTTTTTAATTTGTTGTAGAGACAAGTTCTCGCTATGTTGCCCATGCTGATCTCAAACTCCTGGGCTCAAGTGATCCTCCCACCTTGGCCTCCCAATGTGCTAGGATTACAGGAGCGAGCCACTGTGACTGACTGAATTTAAAATTTTAATAAGGGGATTTAATTGCTGACTCTGGTTGTTAAAAAGAAAAAAAAAATTTCCTTATTCATCCAGACCAGAGACATATAAGTGCAGGTTTCTAAATATTTATACTATCTCTTGAAGCTATACTTATTCTCCTAGAAAGGCAGTTTCTTATCCTCTGGATAGAAATCAACCCAGTTGGAGAAACAGTGTCTTCAAATACTTGAGATCTTACCTGCTTCCCTTGCTACAATCACTAGGAACTCTCTCCACAATGTAACGCAGGATACTTTCTGTCTTTGCCTTCAGCTCTTCTGACCCCCAAGGAATGACATGTGGAGCACCCACACTCTCTGAAGAGAAGGTCATAGGGGACCTCAAAGAGTATAAGTACTCGGTGGAGTGTCAAGAGGACAATGCCTGCCCAGCCGCCGAGGAGACCCAGCCCATCGAGGTCGTGGTGGACGCTGTTCACAAGCTCAAGTATGAAAACTACACCAGCAGCTTCTTCATCAGGGACATCAGTAAGTGTCGGATGACTGTGTGTATGATTCTTGTGGAAAGGTGCCCTGTGTCACGTGCTTGCAATGCCCCATGCCCTGGAGTACGTGGTTCACGAGCACTGTCTCTTTTATTCTGCACCACCAAAAGGTGCCCCATAGGAGGAGGAAGCTGAGTCTTAGGAGGATGAAGCAACTTGCCCCACATCTCAGATCTCACAGCTAGCAATTCCCATCCAGATCCACCCCCTAGAAAAAGCAAGCTGTTTGCCACCCCTTGATTCTGCTGCCCTGGGCAGCTTCTATGATGAATCCCAGGACCTCTCCAGCAAAATATCCGTATTCGGAACCGGGACATCCCTACGCATTGCAGTGATTTTCAACCAATCTTGCTTCAGCATTTGGAAAGGGACCTCTTTATTGGAATATAACCACCCCTCCTCCTCTCTGGACCTCCGTATTTTTAATTGGCAGGCTGACATCTCACCATTTATCGTTTCCTTTGCCGTTTAATCTTGGGTCTGTTATTATGATAAAGTGTGGCAGGACTGCATAACCTGCTGTAGAATTTGTAGAGGGTTTTTGGGAGGGTGGGGTCTAATTTATATAGGATGGCCCAGGAAGGTCTCTTGGAGAAGGTGACATTTAGCTGATACCTAAAGGAAAGGTGTCCGACCGGGCATGGTGGCTCACATCTGTAATCCCAGCACTTTGGGAGGTCAAGATGGGAGGATGCTTGAGCCCAGGAGTTGGAGACCTGCCTGAGCAACATAGTAAGACCTTGTCTCCACAAAAAATTTTTTTAAAAATGAGCCTGGCATGGCGGCACACTTCTGTAGTCCCAACTACTCAAGAGGCTGAGACAGAAAGATCATCTGAGTCAGGAGTTCAAGGCTGCGGTGAGTCCTGATTGTGCCGCTGTGTTTCAACCTGGGCAATACAGTGAGACTCTGACAAGAAAGAGAGAAAGTGAGAGAGAAGAGAAGAAAAGAGAAGAAAAGGAAAGAAAGGAAAAGAAAAGAGATGTCAGTTGTGATAAGAATGAGGGGAGACTGCAAAGCACCTGCTGGGGGCCATGTCCTTGGTGGGGAGCAGTGCTGGTCTGCAGCGTCCAAGCACACTGCCTCCCCCTCTCCTTCTCTAGAAGAAGATCCCCTGCCTGAGGAAGCAGTCCTTGTAATAATCACTGCAGTATCCTCCACACATGGTCCAGTGGCTGGAACACCATGGGTGCTCAGTAGTTATTTATTGAATAAATAAATGAGCGAGCGTACAGACAACTGACTGTAACTGCCGCAAGACATGTCAGTGCCAGGAGCCACAAAAAGACAAAAGAAAGGGCAATGAGTGGAAAATCTATCATCTCATCCCCAGCGAGAGACTCAGTTCAGTTCTGTGTCTGGGCAGATTGATGGATTAAGCACAGAAAGGGTGGTCCTTCACCCACTGCATAGCCAGATGTGAGCCTCAGCTTCTCAAAGTGTTGGAATTACAGGTGTAAACCACCATGCCCGGCCTGAGAGTCTTGTTATCTCTAAGACTTTCCTCTAAGCATTAAGCAGAAGTGGTTCCGCCACAAGGGCCCATCGGATTATTAGTGATGAGAAGGATACTCAGCTTCTCTCAGGTCCCTCAGTAAGGGATAAGGTTATGAATGACAGCTGGTCTCCCTGGATTCCCCCATGTGAACACCTGCAGCTGGGGTACCTCACATTTGCCAGGCAGGTGCTCAGAGAAAGAAAGTAAATGATCCCTTGGACTCACAGGTGGTCAAAGGTGCAAGTAGGATCAGAAGCCAAAACCACCTACCTCCAAAGCCCCGTTAGGAAAATAAAGTGTTTTTCCTCTTCCACAGTCAAGCCCGACCCACCCAAGAACCTGCAGCTGACGCACTTAAAGAATTCCCGGCAGGTGGAGGTCAGCTGGGAGTACCCTGACACCTGGAGCACTCCCCATTCCTATTTCTCCCTGACCTTTGGTGTGCAGGTCCAGGGCAAGACCATGAGAGACAAGGTAAGAAGTGGCACAGGTGACGATAAAACCACTACAGTCATGCGTCACTTAACAATGGTGATATGTTCTGAGCAATTTGTAGTTAGGTGATTTTGTCATTGTGTGAACATCATAAAATGACTTACATAAACCTAGATGGCATAGCCTACTACACACCTAGGCTGCAAACTTGGACAGCATGTTCCTGTACTGACTACTGCAGGCACTTGTAACACAATGGCAAGTATTTGTATATCTACACATAGAGATGGTATAGTAAACATACAAGAGTATAATCTTATGGGACCACCATGGCATATATGGTCCTTCTTTCACTAAAATGATATGTGGCCCATGACTGTACTTTTTTGGAACTTTCCATGTGCCTGAAACCGTACCAGGGATTTTCCATGTATATTTCACTTAATCTGTACAATTAACCCTACAAAGGCTGTCAGTATTCTTATCATCATTTCACAAGTGAAGATATTGAATCTCAGAAAAAGTAAATGACTTGCCCAAAGTCACCTAGCTAAGAAGTGACAGAACCAGCACACAAACTCAGTCTGCCAGACACAAAGGTCATGTGCCTAACCCATCCCATTGCCTATGATAGGATGCATCATTGATCTTTGCACTCACTGTTGGTTCTGATATAGAAGACCTGGGCTCAGGTCTAAAATTATTTTTTCAGTTGTGTATGTTATTGTGAGATTATCTTACTAAACAGGATGTCTACACTTACACAGCCTAAGATGTTGGCCTTCCAACTTTCTTACCTTGCGTCGGAATTCCTTTGCCTCTTGCAAGGTTTCAGAGACCCTTTGCCCAAGACCAAGCCTTTTTTGACCCCACCTTTAAAATCTGTGGACAAATGCCTTAGTCAGCATAGCATTTACCATGGGGTAGAAACTCAGCGAGCCAGTTATTTTCTGAAAAAAAATGGTGAAGGGAGAGAGAAGAAGTTACTTTGGAATAGAGTTTATCCAAATATTATTTAAAATCTTGTATCTTCCTTATTTAAAATATATATCATTAACAGGTGATATTGAGTGATTTGCATGTGCTAAAAATTTGCCTAGAGTTTTACATGATTATTTAACCTTTACAATTTTGCTACCTCACTCCAGCCCTTGGGGTTGGGGAGTTTCAGAGTGACCTCCTGTCCTAATAGTTCCCAGCATGTTGGGAGGCCAAGATGGGAAGATCACGTAAGCCTAGGAGTTCAAGATCAGTCTAGGCAACAGAGTAAGACCTCTTCTCTACAAAAAGAATCAAAAAATTAGCCAGGCATGGTGGCATGCACCTTGAGTCCCAGCTACTCAGGAGGCTAAGGTGGGAGGATTGCCTGAGCCCAGGAGATCAAGGCTGCCGTGAACTGTGATTGTCACTCCAGCCTGGGCGACAGAGTGAGACCCCGACTCAAAGAAGCAAAGCAAAACATAACTTTTACAATTCTATGAGCTAGGCATGATTGTTATCCCTATTTATGAAGAGAAAACAGACAGAGAGCCTAAGACATTTTCCTGGAGTTGCACAGCTACTAAGTAGAAGTGCTAAGATGTGAAGGCAAGTTTGTCTTCTGAATACCCAGGGAAAGCAGCTAAAGCTTATCTGTGTGTCAGTCCCACCATCAGGCCAGGACTGGGGTGACTGCCCACAGGACCTTGGGGCAAGGCAGCTGTGTTAGAATGATGAAAAAGCTGGCGCAAACCATTTCTCCCTCAGAGCTTACAGAGTAGAAAAATCGCACCTGTGTTTCAGCTTCTGCCAGTAGGTGGCGCAAGTTCTATGCACTCCCCTGTGAATTGCAGACGTAGTGCCCCAGGACCAAGATGGTCTTGCTTGGGGAAGTCGTATTCTGCAGAAACATGCACGGCTTACCTTGAGACTGCAGTGCCACTGGGCCTTCACAGATTTCCCTCTTCTTAGCAGAAAGTCTTCGAGGACAAGACCTCAGCCACGGTCATTTGCAAGAGGCATGCCAACGTTCGCGTGCAAGCCCGGGACCGCTACTACAGCTCCTCTTGGAGTGAATGGGCATCTGTGCCCTGCAGTTAGGTGAGCAGGCCCTGGAAGCCCAGACCAGACCTGCACACTCAGTGCACCTGGGTGCAGGGCAATGGTGGGTGGCTTTGCGGAACGGGAAAGGAGCATGAGAACCTAACACGGAGTTGCCAGAATCAGAAACATACATTTGTTCACTAATAGATATTTATGTGATGTCTGTGTTATGTTGGGCACTGTGCTGGGTATAGGGATATTAAAGTAAAGAAAACAGGCCTGAGTCCTGCCCTCCTAGAGGGGAAGGCAAAGAAGAGAGAGAGGGGCCAGGAGTCAGAGCTGGAGGACTTACAGGAGTTAGAACCTTGTACTGGAAGTCCTGGGAAGCCACTGAAGGATTTTCAATAAGGAAGTAGCACAGTCAGATACTTGTTAAAAAAAAAACAAAACAAAACTCAAAAGAGCTGGGCACAGTAGCTCATGCCTGTAATCCTAGCATTCTGGGAGATCAAGGCAAGAGGATTGATTGAACCCAGGAGTTTGAGACAAGCCTGGGCAACAAGGTGAGATCTCAGCTCTAAAAATAACATAAAATAAAAATGAGTTGGGCGTGGTGGCATGTGCCTGTAATCCCAGCTACTCAAGAGGCTGAGGTGGAAAGATTGCCTGAGCCCAGGAGGTCAAGGCTGCAGTGAGCCGTAAGCATGCCACTGCACTCAGCCTGAACGACAAAGTGAGACTGACGCAGAAAGACAGGAAAGAAAGAAAAAAAGGAAGCCTCAAGAGAGCCTCTGGCAAGCATGGTATCAGTCAAATTCCAGGCCATGCGAGGAAGGCTTGGGCCTTCTGATATGAAATCCCTAAAACCCAATTGCCCAGGATAATGTGTTGTGAGAAATAAGAAGGGTTTGCTACTGCAAGTCTACCTCACATAGACTTTTTGGCATTCTTTTTCAGGTTCTGATCCCAGGATAAAACCTTGGAGGAAAAGTGGAAGATATTAGGCAAATTTTTTTAAAGACACGATGGAATATACCCCCCAAAATATTTTCTACCTGATTGCTTTTTGGAAATTTTTTTAGGATCACAATGATGTCTTTGGAGTATTTTTATAATTAGATGCTAAACACCCACTGAAACAATCAGCTAATTTATATGTAGATTTTTCAGCTCTCAAGTTACCACTGGTCCTAATGCTATTTAAATATTTAAGTAATTTATGTATTTATTAACTTATTACTGTTATTTAACATTTGTGAGTCAGGATGTATTGTATGTCTCATACTTTTATGACCCGAACCATAAGGACCAGGCCCCATTATGCAAAATGTGAATTTAAGTGTTATTTATATTGACAACCTTTCAAGCGAGGCTGCAAGAGCATCTGTTTTATGACAGCCAGTAAGAAGATGATGTTATGATACCAGCCTCATCATATATTTGTGATGGGTGAAAAACAGAAGAGATATTTAAATAGAGTCGTGAAGACAAACCATTAAAATGATCTCGGAGTGAGAGATGCTAATTCTCGAATCCATGAAGACTTCCTCGAAGTGGTGTTGATAAAGCAATCCGGGGCCACCTGCATTTCTAAGCATGTTCAGTCTCTGGATGCCTGAATTTTAAAAGGACTAAAAAAAATGATTGAGATTAAAATTCAGCTTCAGTTTCAATGGCAGTACCTACTCCCACCTCCCTGTACGACACGAGAGGGTGGTGCAGAGGCATCTTACGTGCCTGGCAGGTAAAAAGATCTTAGGACTCAGGAGAGAAGACAAGTGTGGTTATGGCTAAGGACATAAAATTGTCAGAATTGCAGGTGGCTTCTTAACAGCCACGTGGAAAAAATAAAACAGACAGATGCAGAGAAAACGAGCTAGAATTGCTTCGTCATCAGCGTGTGAACCTGATATGCGGATCTGACCAAAAGGTACGGCTCCACGGAGGTGCTCCCGCTAAGTAATGAATGTGCTTTCTGTAAAGTGATGACATGTGTTTTCTGTTTATTTATTTATTTATTTATTTTTGCATTCCGAGGCGAATAAAATGAATACAAACCTCTTCTTTGCAGTCATGTGTTGGACTTTCTCAGCTGCCTCAGGGATTCTGTTTCTAAGTCTACCAGGGATGCATATTTTTCCCTTCTCATTCAAGAATCGCCTCTCCTCAAGGGGATTTGCAGAATTGCTTTTTCCCTTTATAGTATTTCCAGAGTCAGTGTCTTTCTGCAGGCTTGTCCCTGCACTCTGACCAGGCAGGACCCTTTGCAAGGGCGTAGAGCCACACTGTCCTCTTTAGGGGTGGATGCTCTTGTTTCTTCCACTTCTATCCTGGAATGGACTCTACTGATTTCCTCCAAATCATGAACTAAAACTCTACCCTGGAAGAGCCATAGGCATCCCATTTCTGAGCCCTAGCCGTGGTATTTATTGAGGCCGTGCCTCCATGTGTATGGATATGTGGTAGCCCTCAGAGTTGGGGAGTTTCAATAAACCTCGTGTTGCTTCCACTAAATGGTGCCCACTCCAGGCACTGCTTTTAAGACAAGGATGACATGTTAACTTCAATACCAAGAAGTGCTAAGATGTTCAAGATATATGGTACTCCGGGGTGAGAATGAAATAGAAAAATCTAGGGACTATGCCAGGGCTCATGACCATAATCCCAGCACTTTGGGAGACCAATAAGGGAAGATCTCTTGAACCCAGGAATTCGAGACCAACCTGGGCAACATAGCAAGACCCCCATTTCTACAAAAAAGAAAAAAATGCTGTGCGACCTGAAGTCACCAAGGAAGACTCAACAGAGAAGAGGAGGCGTCAACTTTGGGCTGAAAGAATGGGCAGAACCTGAGTCTCCCTTGGTGTCTCCCATGGGAAGAGCAGATAGTGGGATCAGAAATCATGCAGTGCCATTCCCTGCTATCTTGAAAATGCAAGTATGCACATCCGGGCTTCCTTGCACTGGCAGGGTAATTATAATAGGGGTGTTTGTTTACATTCCTGACTTTAAGTGTCCCCTAAAACTCTTATGCCACTCTACCCCTGACCCAAGAGGAACTGTGGAAACTAATGCATGAAGTGAAATTAGTCACTTCCTGTCATCCTACTCCAGCTTTTGAAACTTACCATCTTGTGCCACAAGCCCACACTTGACAGCACGTGGTTGATTAATAACAAGTACTTGTCTTCCCTCAGAATCTTTCATCTAGAGCTACCAAGACACTTAATGGGCATTTAATGAACAATGCTACCCAGAAAAAAAAAATCACATTTCATAAGTCCAGGGACCTGGGGACTTTTCCCAAAACTTCTGGCCAGCCTGCCAGAGCTCAGATGTTCTGGCTCCCACCACGCTCAGTGCTATTCTGACATGACTTCTAAGCATGTGACTAATTTCACTTCATGCATTAGTTTTTCCTCTTTAAACCAGAACAAGACCCTCATTCTAAGTGAACTATCATGGAAACAAAAAACCAAATACCATGCACTCTCACTCATAAGTGGGCACTAACCATTGGGCATGCAATCACACAGACAGGAACAACTGACACTAGCCACTACTCACAGTAGGAGGGAGGGAGGGGGCAGAAGGGGCACATGACCACCCACTGGGTACTACATCCACTACTGGGGGAGAGGGCTCACTAGAAGTCCAAACCAGCCAACCTCCTCGGGTCCTCTCCTGCTGTGGGAGTTTTTCTGTCTTCTCAATTAATCCTGATTTCTCAAAAAAAAAAAAAAAAAAGAAAGAAAAACCTTGCCTGCACGCAATTTACTTATATAGCAAGTCCTCACATGTCCCCCACAACTCTAAAATAAAATGTCAGAACAGTCATTTTTATTATAAATGTATCCACTACAAAAGTATCAGACGTCCAAGCAAAAGGTCTCAGAGCTGGGAATCAGAAAACCAGAAATGCTATGTGACCCTGTGATGCCGAGCAGGCCTCTGGACACAACTTGCCTGTGATCCAAGTACCCCCTTCCTTCTCCCTGCTTCCCCTCTCCAACTCAGAAGGTTAGGAAACTATACAATCCCATTTTCAGTCACCTTCACTGCCCAAAAAACCAGAAGACCCAGTTCTGGCCAATGATACATAAGAAAATTCCACTGGGGATTGCAGAAAAGCTTTGATTTTCCTGATAAAAGACAGAGCCATGGCTAGCATCACCCTTTCCTTCCTTCTCCCTCTCTTGAGCAGACAAAATTTGAGAAACCTCAGAGAATGCTTTGCACCCAGGATGAAAGTCACCATACAAAAACCAAAGCTAGAGGTCAGGTGTGGTGGCTGACACCTATAAACCCAGCACTTTGGGAGGCCGAGGCAGGAGAATTGCTTGAGCCCAGAAGTTCGAGATCAGCCTGGGCAACATAGTGAGACCCTGTCACTACAAAATATCAAAAAATTAGCCAGGTGAGGAGGCGCATACCTGTAGTCCCAGTTACTCGGGAGGCTGAGGCAGAAAGATCATCTGAGCCCAGGAGGCTGAGGCTGCAGTGAGTCATAATCATGCACTACACTCCAGCCTGGGTGACAGTGAGACCTTGAATCAACCACGACAAAAAGCTAAAAGCACTCTGGGCCCTAGTAGCATCATGGAGCAGCTGAGCCATGATGTCACTAATCCCAGATTCCTTGTTGTTTGAGAAAGATGGACTCATATTTGTTTCTTTTTTAATTGTGATAAAATATGCATAACATAAAATTTACTGTTTTAGCCATTTTTAGGTATATCATCCAGTGGCATTAAGTACATTCTCCTTGTTATGCAACCATCACCACCATCCATCTCCAGAACTATTTCATCTTCCCAAGTTGAAACTCTGCACACATTAAACAATAATCCCCCCATATTTGTTTTTTAAAATGGAAAACAACCATTTGTACACCTAATCCTGAATTGTACCTCACATCCTCAAAATTAAAACATTAATTAATTAACTAAAAAAATAGGAAATGACTCAACCAATAAATAAAGACATTCTCCTAAAACATCCAGACCCCCATCTCGGAGAGGCTGCTGGCCAAGTCAGAAAGAGGGCCCGACCAACACAGGAAGGAGCCCGGGGTTTGGCGTCAGAACACCCTGTTCTGTCTTTCACAGCTGGCATGAGCCCGGAAAAGACACAGATCACTGGATTTCCAACAACGCCAGGTGAGGGGGCCCTGGAATACCTTGCCTCCCTGACCTCTGGGCCTTGCAGGAACAAGTAAGGACTTTTTAACCTCCAGGCCCTCCTCTGAAATCTGCAAGAGTCTATACCCTTAAGGGTCTGTCTCTCCTTTCCCACGTTCAAGAAGAAAGTGACAAAACTAAGGGCCAAGTATAGTCATTGAAGCTGTCCCATTACAGTTCTCACACGTATTACTGCAGATGAGGACACTGTGGCCTGCATCCCTGTTCCAAGGGCAGCCTAAGCATCAGCAGGACTCACCTGAAGGGAGGAGGGGTTAGAGAATCCCACAGGAAAGCACCTCCACCGTCCTGTCACTCAACATTTTTAGAGTTACTGCTCTGTTCCCGGCACCACTTTCTGGATACAGGGGCGAACAAGACCCTGCCCTCACATGGTTTCTAGTCTCTAGAGGGCCCAATGCTTGGAATTCCAGGCACCAGAGACCACCTCGTGAGAGTCAAGGTCACTATTAAATGAGATAATCAGTTTAATGTGATGGTCACCGTGCCTGGCCCACAGGAAGCACTTAGTAAGTAGCGGGTATTTCCACTGACTAGCTCTGTGACCTTGAGCAAAACACTTAATGTCTTCAAGCCTCATTTTTCTCATCCTTAAAATGGAACAATAATAGTATCTACCTCATAGGGTGGTTGTGAGGATGAAAGAAAATAATGCTCAGAAAGTGCTTAGAAAAGTATCTCCTCCATAGTAAGTACTCAATAATAGCTTATTGTTAATAGTTTTATTATACTACTTGGAAACTGAAGGAAGCATAACTCTGGACCCGTACTTTTTGTGGGGATGGGAGGATGGAGGGGCAGTTGTTATTAGGCCTTGGAGTCTCTGAGAATGGGTCTGGCATGGAAGGATCACTGATCAACCAACAGGGAAGAAAGGGGTGACTCAGTTGAGATTTAAAACCCCTTTAGTGTAAAATCCCTTTAGGGTAAGTAAAATCACATACCCCCCCATATGGGGGATATAAGATGCAGTGAACCCAGTTTCTACCTTCAGACATTGTACAAACTGGTGAAAGGGGAAAAGGAAAACGGAATATAATTAGTACAGTACAATACAATACAATACAATACAATACAATACAATACAATACAATACAATACAATACAATAAAGCCTGGCTGGGATAAG